TTTCTGTCTTCCTCCTTTCTTGAACACAGTCATACAACATGGAAACAGATCCTTCAGCTCATCTAATCCATGCCAACCATGATCCCAAACTAAACTTGTCCTATCTGTGCTTGATCCATATCCCTCCAAACATTTCTTATTCATGTACTTATCTAAATGCCTTTTAAACGTAACTTATCCGTCTATCACTTCCTCTGAAAGTTTCCACACGCGAACCACTGTGTAAAGAGAAAATGCCCCTTGTCTTTTTTAAAATCTTCTTCCTCTCACCTTGAAAATATGCCCCCTAGAGTTGAAATCCCCGAACCTAGGGAAAAGACATCTGCCATTCACCTTATCTATACCCCTTATGATTTTATAAGCCTCTGTAAGGCCACCCCTCACCTTCCTATGTGCCAGTGAAAGAAAAATCAACCAATCCAGCCTCTCCTTACTAACTTAAACCCCCCCATTCTTGGCAACATCGTCGTAAATCTTTTCTGAGCCATCTCTGTCTTAATAATATTTTTTCTATAACAGGGAGGCCAGAACTAGGCAAAGTACAGCAGAAGAGGCCTCACCAATGTCCTGTACTACCTCAACATAATGTCCCAATTTTCATATTCAAAGGTCTGAGCAGTGATGGCAAGCGAGCTAAACTCCACTTTAACCACCCTATCTATATGTGATGCAAACTTCAAAGAATTATGTACCTGAACCCTTGGGCTTCGCTGTTCTACAACACTACCCAAGGCCCTACTTTTAATTGTGTAATTGCTGCCTTTGTTTTACTAAAATATAATACCTCGCATTTATCCAAATTAAACTCCATCTGCCACTCTTCAGTCCATTGACCCAGTTGATCAAGATCACTTTGTAATCTTGGATAACTTTCTTCAGTGTCTGCTATACCACCAATTTTGGTGTCATCCAAGTTTGGTGTCTTACTAGACATGCCTTCTGTATTCTTGTCTGAATCACTTTTGTTTGCCATTTATATGAATGGACTTCGCACTTATCCCTGTGGAACACCGCGGGTCTTATATTTATTGATTTTATATTTAGTTTTTCATTTGCCAAGACCTCTGTAGAATTCAGGAAATTTTGCAAGTTTGCAACCACATTTCTACAACTGTTTTAAAGTCCTAGTATACAGTCCATCAGGTACATAGGACTTGCCAAAGTTTGCAGAAGTGCTTTTTCTCTAGTCTTTCTTTTCAGATTACTATTTTCAACTCATGATTTTCACACTATAATTGGGCTGCTTTTTTTTGTTGACAAAATATTTACGCAAAGTGTCTACCATTTTTTTGTTTCCTATTAATTCCCCATGCTCATCCTTTCAGAGACTGATGTTTATTTAACTCTCCTCTTCATTTTAAGCACTTGCAGAAGCTCTTGCTGTCTGTTTTATAATTTCTGCTGATTTATGCTCATGTTTTTAGTTGTCCTTTGGTTTCTGGAATGTTTCCAATCTTCTGGCCTAACAATCTTCTTTCAGTTTGATACCATTGTACTTTAAGTAGCCATGGATGGTGCATCCTTCTTGAGTCTTTTTCTTCCTCAGTAGGTTATATCTTTAAGAATTATGAAATATCACTGAAACATCTGCTTATTAACCACCTTACCATTTTAATCTGTTTTCCCCAGCCACTTTAGCCAACTCTGTCTTAAACCCTTGTAATTGCCTTTGTTTCAGTTTAAGACACTAGTTTCAGACTTCATTACACAGCAGGTGGTAATGAGGTGGAAGCCTGTACCTTTGAGGGTCATGGCAGTGGATAATTAATGGTTTAAGAGGGGAACTGGATGTCCACTTCTTGCAGAACTTTTGGGATAAAATAGGGAATAGGATCTTCAGGATCTCTCCAGTGAGCTAGCATGGACTTCATTGGCCACGTGGGTTTTTTTTTGTAATTGTGACTCAATGACCCTCAAACTGAATGTGAAATTCATTGTTTTGATGACTCTTCTCTGGAATATCCTTTTATATGAGGTCATTAATTTATCTTACTACATATTACATGATTTTAATAGCTTGTTCCATGGATGATTTCACAATGTATTGTTCTAAGAAACTGGCCTGAAATAGCTCCATTCACTCGTACTCAAAGCTGCTATTGCAAATTTTATTTGTTCAGTCTGAAAGCTTAAAATCATCCATGATTATTGCTATACCTTTTTTTACAATCTTCCATTTTTTAAAAAAATTCAAACTCTGTCCTACAAAGTAACTACTGTTTGGGGATGGATGAACTGTTTCACCAGTGACTTCTTTCTCTTGCTACTTCTTTCTTCTACCCAAACTGATTCTGTATCTCGATCTTCTGAGCAAAGATACTTTCTCATGACTGTAGTGGTCTCGTCCTTTATTAACAAAGCTGGTCAACCTATTTTCTGCCTGTCCTTCTGAAATTTGGGAATCCTTGAATCCTGTTTCCATTCTTGATCACTTAGCCAATTAATTAGACAGTTGCAATCAGATAATACACATTTATTTCTATTTATGCCTTTAGTTCATCTGTCTCATGAAAAATACTCCGTACATTCAGATGAAGAACATTTAGTGTTGTTGCTTTACTGTTTTAGACCTAATCTGACCCTATTTGCTGTTGTAGTCTTACTTTTGTACACTCTGCCACTTCTTGTCACTAGGTTTATCATAACCTGTATTTTTACCTATACTGTTGCCTCATCCTTTCTTTAACTTTCTAAAATTCTCCTCTCACTTGAACCCTCCAAGCATACCTCTCTCAAGAAAAGTCCTTTGACAGCTCTACCTACTTGATTTGCGAGGACATTGTTCTCATCAGAGTTCAAGTGAAGTCCATCCCAATGGAGCAGCATCCTCTTTCCTTCAGTAATGGTGCCAGCGGCCCATGAATGAAACCCAATTCTGCCACACTAATCTTTGAGCCAAGCACTAAATGCTCCATTTTATTGAATGTATGGCAGTGTGCTTGTGACTTTTTTCTTTGTGATTTTGCTTTTTAACTTAAACCCTAGCTGCTCATACAATTCTGTGCAGAACCTTTTTCTTGGATATCAGTGAGAGGTGGATGACATGGATCAAAATAACATGATTTTCCACTCTGTCTTTCTTGCTCCTCTTCAGGTCTAAGGATGTACCTAGGTTAGCAATGCAGCCCTTGAGATTCAGTTCTTTGCAGTCAAGACTAAGACTCTATCCTTCTAATTATACAGCTCTGACCATTATTAAAGTCCTTCTCATTTTCCTGACTTGAATGCCCCTCATTCCATGGTTATTGTGCTTGTTGTCCTTACTGTAGCCCCCACAGGTTGCAAGGTGAAGTGCAAAATGGAAATTCTTCCTCCTGGATTCCCATACCTGTCTCTGTTATTATCACACTATCCTCTGATCACAACCGACATTTGAAGTATTTTACTTTGAATGCCTTTGCTTCATGGAATGAAGTGGTGCAGATACCACTCCTCTCTCTTCATTAGTATTTGAAGTCTAACTGCAGAGTGGCACAAATAGTCCCAACAACTTGTGAAGGTTTGTATTTCTCAGGATACTACTTTCTTGCTGTTAGCCATTGGATGACTTACACTTTATTCAAAAATAGTACCATTACGGTATTGTTATTTTAGCAGCAAATGTATGATTTTGTTAGAAATTCACCCCTCAATTGCAGGTCATGCCTCTGGTCCTGTTGTTCTGGAGAAAATGAAACAGTTCATCATTATCTATGATATGTATGTGCTTATAACTCAATTTTCTCTAGCTACTCAAATCACTTGGAGAATTCTCTCCTGTATTTGCTTGATACCTGCATACTCTTATACTGCATATAGTGTTGTGATGTTGCAGCCATTATTCATAAAGTAGAAAGATTACCCCACTATTATCATTATTGATCTTGTAATACTTGCAAACATTTGCTTCAGTTACTGCCAATGAGCATTGTTGCAGCACGTTCTGTTTGTTGTTCAGGAGCCTAAGTATCATTGATGTTGCAATTAACATTAAAGGAGGGTGCACTGCAGCAGTTCAAGAAGGTAGCTTGCTACTTTTCAAGAGCAATAAATCCTGGCACAGCCAGCAAAACTGATATCCCTTGAGTGAACTGGAAAAAAAAATGTGCCATTGTCTGTCCAATTCCCAAATGCATTTGTTTCCTTTTGCAATTTGCCAACCTCATTAGCTTTGTATGATCTTCAAATTTAGCACATGCTTAGAACCTCTAGTGCTCGTCATTTATGAAACTGGATGTATAATTAGGTCTTGGATTTTAGCTTGATTTAACTTTGGGGATAATTGGTTTTGAGGAATTAAATTCTTCAAAGAATTTCCTCTCTGCTACTCTGAAATAGGTGTAGAGGTGGTGAGATTTCATTGCACGTTATGTGGGTAGATACTAATTTCTTGAATGAGCGATAGGTAGTATCCTGCAATTAATATGAATATAAATAGAATTGCTTTGCATAATGGCAGGATTTGGCTTTGAATTTCAAACTGCAGCCAAACTTGTATGAAATGCAATTACTGTTTACTTCATATATTTTGCTACACAAAAAAAGAAGTGCGGATACTGGAAATCTGAAACAAAAACAGAAGTTGCTGAAGAAGCTCACCAACTGTGGAGAAAAAGCAGAATCAATGTTTTGGGTCCAGAACTGAAAAAGGGTCACTGGACCTAAAACATTGACTCTGATCCTATTTTCTCTCCACAGACGTTACTAGACCTGCTGAGATTCTCCAGCAATTTCTGTTTTTGCTTTTATATATTTTGTTATCTACTCAAATGGATTATGGAGGAATATATTGCACTGAAAATACACATCCACTAGTGATACTTGCTCATTAATATTGCTTGGTGTTTTTCTTCCTGTGTGAAGAATTTTTTTACCTTGTTTTGTACTTTTGAAAAGAGAGCTCAAAGGATTAAATATGGGATTGTTTAATGCCAAGTAGTTTGAGGATTTTTTGCTGCTGATAGATTTTTGTGTTACGATCCTTTGTTATATTACTTTCTCTTTTTCAACTTTTTATGTAGGACTCCTTGAAGAAAATGATATCTTCAGGAATGCCCAAGCTGGTGTTCTCATTAGCACAAACAGCCATCCAGTATTGCGAAAGAACAGGATATTTGATGGGTTTGCAGCAGGTTTGTAACGTTTAATCAAAGCCTGTGTGCAAATAAAACTTTTTGATAAATGTTCTTGTAAATGTGACAAATGGAATGGTTAGTGTTGAATGGGAGAAAGGCAATGCTATTGTTGATATAAAATCCGTAGAGTGTGAAAGCAGGCCATTCGGCCCATTGACTCTACACTGACCCTCCGAAAAGCATCCCACCCACTACCCTGTCCCTATAACGCTGCGTTTCCAACGGTCAACCCACCCTGCCTGCACATCCCTGGACACTATGGGTAATTTAGCTAATAGCCAATCCACCTAACATTCACATTCTAGGACTGTGGGAGGAAACCGGAGAACCCAGATAAGGGGAGAACGTGCAAAATCCACACAGTCACCGGAGGGTGGAATTGAACCCACGTCTGTGGCTCTGTTAGGCAGCAGTGCTAACCACGAAGCCATCGTACCGCCCGATACAGTTCCAAAAGTGATATGTGGTTTCGTGTACGAAGACTGTGATTTTGATGGTCATGACTGGCATCTGCTAATTGCAGACATGAAATTGAAATTCTTTCCTCTTAGTTCTAATAGTACTTCCGTTTTTGAATTGTACGTAAAACACTCAATGAGAAAACTGTTTCATTGCTGACTGCTAGCAATGTGGTTCTAATACTATTTGTGATGTGAAACAAGCCTTATTATTTAATTCAAACATTAAGTTTATGTCACTAACCCTGATCTATTAAAATTAATACAACTCAATTATAAATTTTAAAAATTCCTGCTTGCCCTACCTTCTGCCTATATTCGTTAACCAAATTACACCCACATTTAATTTTTAAATTTTCCGTAAACATTTGAAATGCCAAAAATATAAAATTATAATTGAAGTTTTATGGTATGGCATCTTTTGGCACTTTTGTGTGAAATGAGCTTGTAGACGTTGCTGCTGCTGTGTATCTAACTGAAGTTTTATTGTATAACAAAGAGAATATACTTCACAGAACAAGCAGGAATTTAGGTTGATGTGAAAGTAACCATTAATTATAACTAGCATCGATACCAATCGATGTAAAATTGATCCAAGTGAGTGTAATTTGCACTATAGATTCAAACTTGTCAGTACAGTGCTGCTTTACCAGTTGTATTTTTTTAAAAATAGGTTGAAATATTCTAGCAGGATGGTGTTTCATTCGCATTGTCACTCATTTTCCTTGGCCACATGAGAGAGTAAGAAATACTTTGCATGCTAATCATTCAGTTGATGCAGAACTAGCTGTGTTGCGGGGTGAGTCCCCATGACCTTTGCTAATCACACAACACCTCTGGGATGAATGGAGATAGATTTAATCTATTTATCATCTGAATATATTTAATCATGTAAATTGTTTTGTGGCCTGAGTTTTACAGAGCAAAGTTTGTTTTATTGAATACCATGGTCTTGAATTTGTGGAGATCTGTAAGGGGGTTCTTGGGTAAAATGGTTGGAGCAGCTGGCAGCTGCAGAAAACTGGATAGAATCGGTGATCTGCACCACAAAGTGCAATATGTGGCAATTCCTGTGGTGTGGGGGATTAGTAGAAGTGGGCTACCTGATGTCAAGAAGGAAACAACCTAACTGGGAGGCTGAAATGCCCACTGCTTCTGCCTCGTTATCCTAAATGACTGGAATACGAGTGTTCAGATCCATGGACACAGGAGTCCAGGCCTGGATCAGGATGCCTGAAGGCTGCAGACATCAATGAAAATGACTTCTTTATAAATCCAGTGGGATCCAGTTCCACAATTAGTATTTTCAGTTGTTCCACCAAATCTTGGATTCTGTTTTTCACCCTGACCATCATAAATGTGCACTTATACTGCCTTGGCCCCCCTGATTTATATTCATCTTCTACCTCTGCTACTCCAGTGGTGGGTCAGGCAGTACCTGGGGCATAATTAATGGGAGTGGTGCTAGATCAAGTAATTTTACCTTAACTATGTTTAACTGGTTTAAGTCCTAAACTTGTCTAAATGGTGGCCTGAAGGTCCAAAGTAGTTGTATGACTTTACAAGTCCAGCTGTATATAATCGTTGTCCTTCTTTCATAGGCATTGAGATAACAAATCATGCTACAGCTACTCTAGAAAACAATCAGATATTCAACAACCGGTTTGGAGGGTTATTTTTGGCATCTGGCGTGAATGTTTCAATGAAAGGTATAAAAACCTATTATTAAACTTTGCTAGTGGAAAAACATTTGATCTTACTAATGGTACAATGTGGATGATTCAATATTTATTATCCACGTATGATTTTCCATAAAGAAAGAATAAAGAAAAACTTGCAACCGTAATTACATGATTGGAGGAGAGCAGCAGTGTCCCATCGATTGTCCACTTTCCCAACTATCGCTCTATCCCTGTAACTATTTGAAAACTGTGATTCTGAATGTTATAAAGTGAAGTATTGCTGTCTTGATAATGTAGTAATTGCCATCTTCTTCCTTGTTTTATCCATAACTTGTTAAATGCATCCTCAGAATAGATTCCATAGGAGACTTAACCTTGTAGCAAGTCATAATTCCACTCTCAAAGCTGAACAGAATTACAGTACTGATTCACTGAACTTTCTTTGTGGTAATTAAGGCCATGTCTGAACCACTTAATTGACCCCAGGCTGCCTTGAGTTTGCCTTTGAAGCAGAAGGCATGTGACTGAGTGAAACACCATTCATTTGTTTTTGATGCTTATGATTGATATACATGTCCGTAGGGATTCTCTGCAAGAGCAAAGCAGCCAGTGCCACACCCTACCTTTTCCCCATAACCCAGAAGTTTTCTCTTCAGGTAATTATCCCATTCTCTTTTGGAGGTTGTGATTAAATCCGTATCCGTTGCACACTCTGCATTCCGGATTCTAATGGCTCAGCGTGAAAGAATGAAGTTTTCTTCATGTTGCCTATTGTTCTACTAATCTTCTGACATAGGTGTCCTCTATTATTCTGTTATTTTCTGAATATTTGGAAGTTTTTAAGCTTTGACTCTGCAAACCTGTATACTCACAGTCTAGTCTGGGATGGTTAATATATCCCCATGGAGTGAGTGTGTACCCTTGGACAAACGCCCTTTGGGAATGTATAGATTCAACAGAACTTCCATGTTTAGACATACATGCATCAACTCTAGAAGTTGCTGTCAGTTCAGAGCAGTAACCAGCAAATGCAGAGAGTTTTCACCATTATTATCACTACATTCTGTTTTGTTTTCTGATTCAAACCTAAACTGATATGACCCCTGTATCAAACCGTATGTTTAATCTCCCCAAAAAGTTGCTGTAAGACATATAATCATGAACTCTTCGGATTGGAAGTTCAGGATACGTCCTCGGATGAAGCAAGCTTTCTTAAAAAGACTTTGGGTAATGTCAGTTGAGCTGTATGAGTTGAGTTTGAGCTACAGTATGTAAATTAAAGAAAAGTGGCTTGAAGGGATTAATTTGGCAGGTTACCCACAGTCCTGTCAACATAGGAGATTAGGTCATCGAGCGGAATCCTTCTGAAGCTACCTACCATTGAGAAACTTATTCGATGATTCTGAAGCGTAGAAAACTCTTCTTGAATGATAGAGCAGTAGTGCCTGTACATGCAGTCATGTTGCGCTTAAATGAGTTGTGATAAATGATTTTGTATGAATGTAATGACTTTGTCTGAGTAGGGCTTCTGACGGTTGCTTCGAGGTGTAAATTAAGCTTTCTGTGAAGCTCTAATCAGTCAATCTTTGGGCCGTTGCTCAAACTCATGAATCTGTATACTCAAAGATTGGATATACAACTGCTGCTATATTTTAATAAGTCAATCCATCCAACTACTTTCTGTAACAATGCTTGACTAGCTCCTGTCCTAGCCATAAAACATGGGATTGTATTAGGTTATGGGCATGTGTTCACCATCTGTAAACTTGCATGTAGCTTTGGTGACTCAGTGAACGTATCTAACATTGGTTGTAAACAGCCACAGGTATTTAAATGCATGACATCCACCATCTGCAATCCTCCTCCCTCCTCAAAATTTCTGCCGACCTAAATTCCCACCTGTTCCAAAGTCGATCATCATGTAAATGATTCTCCAGCCCTGCTGGGTCTTCACCATCTTCCCAGACCTCCCCCTCACTGAGGACGAACGGTCAGTCCTCGGTAAAGGACTCCCCTTTATCCCCCTCCACCTGAACATCAATGAATACCGCTCAAGCCTGGACGTTGAACAGTTTTAACGCCGCCTCAGCCTCCACGCTTATTTCTTTAATTGCGAGCCAAACCACCATCACCTCCCCCCGCAGACCCCTTCTCCCGCCTCCAACACACCCCATCCTCCTGGACACCACCCCAAGGCCTCCTACCCTCCCTCGACTTCTTCATCTGTCGTCATGACATTGATCGCCTCAACCTCTCCACCCCTTTCACTCACTCCTCCAGCCTCTCCCCCATGGAACGTGCAGCCCTCCGCTCCCTCTGCTCCAGCCCTAACCTCCCTATCAAACCTGCAGACAAGGGAGGCACAGTTGTTATGGTGCACTGACTTTTACATTGCCAAGGCCAGGTGCCAACTCTCTGACACCACCTCCTACCGTCCCCTTGATCATGACCCCAGCCCTGACCACCAAAACATCATCTCCCAGACCATCCATAACCTCATCACCTCAGGTGACCTCCCACCCACAGCCTCCAACCTCATCGCTCCCCAACCCCACACCGCCTGTTTCTATCTCCTTCCCAAAATCCATAAACCCGACCAGCGGAGACTCGGAGACCGCTTTGTGGAGCACTATGCTCGGTTTGCAACAAATGACAACACCTCCCAGTCACGAACCACTTCAACTCCCCCTCCCACTCTGGATGACATGTCCATCCTGGGCCTTCTCCAGTGCCACAACGATGCCACCCAAAACTGGAGGAGCAGCACCTCATGTTCCGCCGTGGAACCCTACAACCCAGTGCTCTCAATGTGGACTTTGAGCTTCAATATCTCCCCACCCCCAGCCTCATCCCAAGACCAGCCCCTGACCTCATCCCCGCCTCCTTGACCTGTCAGTCTTCTCTCCCACCTATCCGTTCCTCCCAAGTCACCGACTAACCCCCATCCCCACTTCCTACCTACACTCACCTTTACTAGCTTCATCCCCGCCTCCTTGACCTGTCCATCTTCTCTCCCATCTATCTGCTCCACGATCCACCTTCTATCCCCGCTCCCCCCCCCGCCGCCGCCCCCCATTTCTGAAGAAGGGTCCAGACCCGAAACGTCAGATTTCCTGCTCCTCTAATGCTGCCTGGCCTGCTGTGTTCCTCCAGCTCCACACCTTGTTATCTCAGAAACCAGCATCGGCAGTTCCTAATATCTCCAAACATTCTTCCAGCTTTAGACCTGCGATCACTTAACCTTGACCTGCCCACTCTTGCAAACTAGTGCTCCATCTCCAACCTCCCTTTCTTCTCCAAAGTTAGTTTTCATGTTGTTGCCTCCCTGAAAATTCCCAGAACACCATGTTTGAATCCTCCCTAGTTGCATTTCTAACCTGCTATAGCAACAAAATAGTTTTTAATGAAGTCACTTCTGACCTCTCAGTTGATTGATAACAGGTAAATGATCCCACTTCGCAACATGTCTGCAGCATTGGTCAGTGTATGCTTCTACAATATTTTCCTTCAGCACCTTTCTCTTTTCATCCAGCTGAGATGTAAATTGGTTCCAGTCTCAACTATCTTAATTGCAACCAGGCAATCACTTGCAAGAGCCCCTCGGGCTCCTGCACCACTATTGCCAGTGTTCCCCAGCCTATCCTTTGCTCCTTCCTATTTATCATTCACATGCTGCTATTCAGCAATATGGGGTTAGTTTTCATGTGTAGGCTGACACCTAGGTCTACCTTCATCCGTACTGGACAGGCAGAAATATATGCAAATTAAATATTGGGAAGACAAACTATTGATTTTGGTTCCCACTCAAAATTCTGTTTCCCTAGGTAGTGAAATCTTTGCGGAGATAATGAGCAAATTAGACAAAGGAGAGCCAGTGGACATGATCTGTTTGGGTTTCCAGGCCTGTACAAGAGGCTGCTAAATAAGATCAGAGCCCATGGTGTTAGGGACAAGGTACTAGCATGGATAGAGGATTGGCTGACTGGCAGAAGGCAGAGTGGAGATAAAGGGATTGTTTTCAGGATAGCAGCTGGTGACTTGTCTGGAAGCAACACGAACAGCTAGAGTTCCAAAGGGTCAGTGTTATCTATGTTAATAATCTGGACAAAGGAACTGAATGCACTATTGCTAACTTTCCAGATCACTCAAAGATAGGCGGAGAGACTGATAGTGTTGATTAAGCAGGGAGGTTGCAGAAGGACTTGGACAGGCGAGGAAAGTGGGCAAAGAAGTGGCAGATTGGAATACAAGATGGGAAAGTGAGAATGAATGAATAGCCAAGGTCTTTTTCTCTGTGCGGGTGGAGTCCAAAACTAGAGGGGCATAGGTTTAAGGCAAGAGGGGTAAGATTTCAAAGGGATTTAAGGGGCGGCTTTTTCACCAGAGGGTGGTGCATGTATGGAATGAGCTGCCAAAGGAAGTGGTGGAGACTGGTACAATTACATTTAAAAGGCACTTGAATGGGTACAGGAGTAGGAAGGGTTTAGAGAGATATGGGCCAAATGCTAGCAAATGGGACTCAATTAATTTAGGATATCTGGTTGGCATGGACAATTTGGAGCGAAGCGTCTGTTTCTATGCTCTATGACTGTGTAATTAAGTACTGATCCTTTGTTGTAACACAGTTGATTTGATCATCCTATAAGCAACATGGCTAACAAACAGTTGGCATACACGAGTTCAACCAAAGGGTTTGTTTCCATGTTGTACAGCTGTATGACTAGGTGTGGATTTTTTTTTTTAAAAACTGGGAATGGCTTCAGAAGTCTGAAATACAAAGGGCCTGGAGAATCCTAGTTGAAGATTTTTAGGTTAACATTCAGATTCAGTTGGTCGTTAACAAATACAACGGTTGGTATTCATTTCAAGAGGGCCAGAATACAGGCGCAGAGACAGAGGCTGTAGAAGGTTCTGGTCAGACCACATTTGGAATCTAAGGAAGGATGTACTGTGTTGGGGGCATTTTACTAGAATGACACTAGGGAGCAAGGGCTTGTCATATGAGGAGCAGTTTCGGACTCAGTCTGTACTCAATGGAGTTAAGAATGGATGGGCGTGGGGAGGAAGAAGGAATCTTATTGAAACTTATAGAATACCAAGGGGCCTGAATAGAGTGGTAATGGGAGATGTTTTCACTAGTAGAATAGACTAAGAGCCAAGGGACAATCTTTTAGAACTGAGATGAGGTATTTCTTCAGCCAGAGGGTATTTAATCTGCAAAACTCATTGCTGCAATAGGCTGTGGAAGCTAAGTCATTGAGTATATTTGAGACAGACAGGTTCTTGAGTGGTAAGGTAGGAGAATGGGGTTGAGAAACATCAATTATGATTAAATGGCAGAGCAGACTCAATGGGCCAAAGTGTAATTCTGCTTCTCTATCTTACGGTGACTCCAGCTCACTCCCTGCCCATGTCTTGACTTACACTGTGCTCAAATGTGATAAAGGAATGGCAGTTGGTGTAAGAAAAATATTCCCACAGAGGACAATAAAGGGCTTCAACTTAGCATCATCTGTAGAATCGAGACAAAAGGTAGGGGGAAGGATTGTTCAACTATGGAATATCCAGCTAAAAAGTGGGGAACCCCATATTTCTTAAGTTTCTTAAATCCTATTTTTGACTTGATGTCATGTTTAGAGAAATGAAACCTGTAGTTCTTTCCAGTATTAAATAAGTGGAAATCTGACCATGTGGGTGAAGGAAGAGCTAGCATGCACTTTGTAAAATTCTACTTCAGCCACACAATCATATAAACATGGTGCTTTTTCTTCCTTTAAGACAACAAAATAATGAACAATCAAGATGCAATTGAAAAGGCTGTTAATAGGGGCCAGTGCCTGTACAAGATATCAAGTTACACCAGCTACCCAATGCATGATTTTTACAGGTAAAGTGCATGGCTCTTGCACATCTATTTATCTAACAAAAGTGGAAAGCAGATTATTTTAAATAACTTCTAATGTCAACTGTCTTTCAATCACTAGGTGTCACACCTGCAACACAACAGATCGTAATGCAATCTGTGTAAACTGCATTAAGAAGTGCCACCAAGGACATGATGTGGAATTCATTAGACATGATAGGTCAGTACTGTATAGGAAACACTGAATAATTAGACATGAACATCATCCATCATTTTCTGTCTGGGTTTTGAGGTCCTCCAGATCATTCTGTATCATGTCACTCAGTATATAACACATTCTGCCATAGCTGTACTCCTGTCCTTTTAGTTGACATGTCTTTTGGGACTTGGCACAGACGGTCACCAATATATGTTTGAAACTTGATATTCAGCTAGCCTGTTATTTCTCTTGGGAGAACTGACATTACCTCCTAAAATTAGCAGCGGTGTTGTGGAATACAATATGTCCAATAGGATACATTTAGTTTTCTTAACTACTGCACAAGTTTAAATTATTTCAAGCTCACTTTCAAATGTGAAATCATAACTAGACTTGTGTGTTAATTGCTAGAACATCATCAGTTGTTGCAGGAGAAAATTGTGCTTTGAAAACATGCTGTTAACAAACTCAATAACCAAAACATTTCTAGTGGTACCATATCAGCTGGTAATCCTACACTAATACCCAAGCCCCACGTTCTGTTGCATTTTCTGTCTCAAAACATGTGCAAGCTTTATTAGATGTCATTTCTGCATTTCCTGGTATGAACACATTGCTGAATTAGTTGAAATCCTAAGGCTTGTAACCATTCTGACAGCATGACGAGCCAAGTCTTGCTCAATTTTCTTCTGTCAGTGTAAAAGTAATGTTTAAAAAAGTGGATATGTAGCATACTTCAGTAATGTCTTCTACTGTCTTCTCCACCTCCATGACTGAAGACAGGGTGTGTGTGCACAGATTCAGTGTAGGTAGTTAGAATAAAAATACTACTCAAAGTAGGTAACAAGGTTTGTAGCTATAGAACAATACACAACGGTGTGGCCAACATTTGTTATTATCTGTTTAAGCCAAAACCACACTACCACTCCATTTCTTGGTGTCTTTCTCTGCTTCAAATATTTACTTTTCCCTGATGGATCCATTGGTCTCTATCTCAGCACTCCCTTACATTCCAACCTTTATCTGTGCAAAACCTTCTATAATAATTTGAAATTGATCTCGTTGCTAATTCTCCAGTCATACCAAAATCTCCATCATACCTGTACTCACCTTGAAGTAGACTGAATGTCTCCATTCAACAGCCTTCCTGCTTGTGAACTACTCAGTGTCTTCATCATGGAGAACATGTGGTCGTTGTCACTTTAAATCCATGATCAACTGAAATGAGCTTGTGATTGTACAAATTGTTAAAACATCAAAATGTGCACAACTCCTCAAAACTGCATTTTGTCACTCAGCAGTCTTTCTAAAGTCAGAATGTTTGTTGTGCAATACTGAGATTATAAAAAAAATCAAATTTAAGCAGAAATTCATGGTTTATTTGGTCATACACTTGAAATGGGAGATTGTAACATAAGAATTTATTTTCTCCCCTCTCATTTCAGATTTTTCTGTGACTGTGGTGCTGGAACACTTTCGAATCCTTGCACATTAGCTGGAGAACCCACACATGATACAGACACTCTGTATGACTCTGCACCACCAATAGAGTCCAATACTTTGCAACATAACTGAGAGTTTGTTTTTCCTGCCGTTCTAATCAACAGTAACTCCATTTGTATCAAACGAAAAACTAGGGGAAAATAACATTTTACCCAAATCTTCAGGAAGAATGTCCGAATTTGTACAGCTGTTGTGCATGGCACTAGAGTCTGAAGTCTGGTGTTCAGACAGTGAAGGAGTAATCTGCTAACTCAGGATCAAGAGAAGGCGCTGGGCATGAATAGCATTATGACAGATTAAACAGCCAGCAGTGGTCTACCCAAGGGACAAAATGCTAACACTGATACTGTACCCTAAATGCCAGCTTGTGAAGCTGTCTTCTCTGGACAAGTAGCATTGGAAGACTGTTGCTGTTGGAAACAGCAGACAGAATATCAAGGGTGTTCTGCAGCACCTATGGACACTGGGTACTGATTGGGTTGGTGTATGTAAGAAAATGTGATCTAGCACTTCTGCATTTGATTTTTAAGAAAAAAACATTTATTCAATGGAGACAACTGATTTTAATGCTTTTCTCATGTAGCTTTTTTTTGTAATTTCAAGCAAAACCTTATTGTACTTGAATGTGTCCTGTTTTGTTAGCAGAACTAGAGACTTGCTGTAACTATACTCATGTCCCAGTATCTTATTCTTTCTATGAAAGAGACAAGATAACACTAATCGATTGTATCCCACAACTATTGATTTCAATTACAGAACATTATGTTCTTTTTAAAGTTATTTCCAGAAGTCAACACAAGTGCTTTCATGAGACTGTACAGGGATTAAGGGAAAGTAAACATCTGAAGTGGTACCGGTATTTTAGATGCCACCTCATTAAGACATGCATATTGTTACAAAGGTAACTTCTGGACAGTGCCATTTTGGTAATGCTTCTTCTCCCTGTAATGAAGCAGCTAGTATATATGTACATATATACTCAGTCTCCCTTTACTAGCTTTTCATTAATGCGTATTGGTGACAGTGGGTAAAATCAACAGCTTGAAAGTGTATGCATGTACCATAACATCCTAGACTTAATATATTGTGGAGCATTTAATAACCATTATGTAGATGATAGGTAACAATAAAAAGGGTTTAATTTCCTAGGAAGAGAGAGAGTCTTATCATTTTAAAATAAACTTTATTAGAACATAATTTCAACAATCATGTCTTTGAGTTAAACCATACGCTTGATACTGTTTTCAGATTTCAGCAATCTTCTGCAGTACTGGCTGTAGGGTAAAGAAGTTAATATTTGGGTCTTCAACCAAAAAGCACATCTCTCTGGAAGGGGGGAAAAAAAAGTATTTGAAAATTTAATCTTTTACAGACATTAAAACTTCAGAAGTAGTAACTACACTACACCACAATCCACCCATTCATTGTAAGTGAGCTAAAAGACAGTTACTTTTTGCTAAGTGTACCTTGCTACCCTTCTGTTTTGAAAGGGAGATAAAGTGAAAACATTCTTTAGCATGTTATGCTAATTGTGTAGAAACTTAAGAATTCAAAGCAAGCAATATATTTTCACATTCTATCCCCAGCAGTAAAGAGAACATGGTCACTACTGTATCTTAAAAACCAGCTTGCATTAACCGTAGGAAAAAGGATATCAACCCTGGAGGTTGGGCTCTTTCCTGACTAATAAAAAGTTATAATTAATCCATTGGGAAACTAGTTTTACCACTCTTGCAGCTTGATGAAATTCACTCGTATGTACGCCATACTTGCCAAGTAACATACACACAACTGCCATTATCTTATCTGATATTTGCTAATCAAAACAGTTAAAACAAGGTTTAATTATTTTCTATACTTACTTGAAAAGGCGGAAGGAAACTGTGGTCTTCTCAAATTCTTTAGCTTTCTTGTGACCTTTCTGAATAATTTCCTCAGGAATGTTTGCAAGTCTTGCTGCATTAAATCCATAACTCTTTGGACAGGCTCCTTTGATAAATTTATATAAAAACGTGATAGTTTCCTGACTTGGATCCTCACACTCGTTCTCAACCATACAGGCCTACAAACAGTCCATAGAGAATATTATGGAGATGGGCACAAACTTAACTAACATAATATCATTTGTTTCACTGTACTTAGAACCCATCCATTTAGAAATCAAATGTGTCTCTGCTAGGCATGCAGGTCTTCATGCCTTTTTTGTCAGTAACCAGTTTAACTTTTCCAGCATGTGCTGACCAGGTCCACAAGTATGAAATCTTTAAACAATACTGAGTGCCATGCACTTACCATATGTCCTAAACTGACTGCTGTGGAGTGAGAAAAATCTTCCACAAGGGAATGGTAGTGTGTAGAAAACAATGTGCGGCACTTAATGTTTTCAGCAAGCTCCTTCACTACTGCACTAGCAATTGCTGTGCCGTCGTATGTTGCTGTGCCACGGCCTGGAATAATAATTCAACATTAAACATTGCAAACTCCTGCTCAACTCTTCACAGTCCTATCTTACAAGCAAATTGACTGTAGTTTGAAAAAGTAACATTATGAAACAAACATTTCTGGTCTGACTATCCTAAAGTGTGTGTCAAACCTCGAGATGTATTTTAATTTGCTCAGGTCATTTGCAATCACGATCGGGTTTAATATTTAATGTGGTTATCCTCCAGATCACTTGCGTAAATACGCCAATTGGTACTACAAAACGGCGCTAGGATGCAGAGGTTAGATTGGGGTAGAGGGGAAGAAGCAATTTCACTGCCCTATTGTCTAACTGCGGTCATTCATAACAATGTGCTTTCCTTCCCCACTCCCCCCAACTATGCCAGGGTGTGCAGCTATTTTTCTGAACGTGAAGAGCCTTAAGAAATTTGCCAAAAATCAACTCTCTAGCATTGCAAAAGATATTGGTCATTATCAAATGCAGTCTCATTTCTTACTTTATAGTTTTATTAAAAGTCAGTCAAACCAGCGTAAACGTTTTCCTAACAAGGCAACTTTCTAGACCAGATCAAATTTAAAAACTGTTAAAAGCAATGTTGCAACCATAAAACCTTAACTATAACCAATGTGTAGACATATGGCTGTTTTTTTTCATTAAAATCATTTGAAACTGCAAAATTTAAGTTGATTCTTGCTCTACTTGGTATTTCTAGATTTTTGCCCCTCACCAAAACAGGTGATGGTTGGACCCAGTCTTACATGTGAATAATGGTCTTTAAGTAAATTCCAAATGGAAAAAACCCATACTGCACAGGTAGTGCTACATAACAATACGGGAAAGAACATGTTGCCCATCCCAAAGCAGCAGCCAATTTACACAAGTGATCCAATAATTGTTTCAGTATTGCCAGGTTGCATGCTTAAGTCTTTGGAATGGGCCTTATAAAGGATACCATGCATCTAGATTTCTACACTTATCCATTTTACACTGCTGACTGATAGCTGGGAAATATTTGTTTCAAACAGTCCCAAGATACAGACCACAGCCACATTTTTCCTCACTCCCACCATGTATGCCATCCACAAACAACCAAAAAATTATCAACAAGAACAAAATCTGATACTTTAGTTATAAAGAAACTAAACAGATTTTTTGACAAGTTGATGTGGAATGGTGATGGATGGATGAGTGATCACAAAAAAAATAAACTCCCTCGCTAATGCATTCTCATGTTCCCACACCACCCTTATTGAAATTGACCATAATTCCAGTGTACACTTTATTAAAAGAGACACACTATCTCCAGGTGGTGACTTTCAGGGAAAGCTACCTGCTCAATTCTTGCTTTGCTGTATCTCCAGGAGACAAAAAGAGCAAACACCATTTTAAATGCTCAACGAAAGCACCTTGATTTGTTATGACAGCTCACTGGAAAACTCACTAATCAAACTCAAACACAAAGTGGCACCAGCTCCTTAAACATGCTAGAAAGCCATCATGGATTCATCAGATTCTTGAAATCAGCGCAACATTTTGATTACATGCAAACATTACCTAATTCATCGAGAAGCACAAGGGAATATGGAGTTGCATGTTGCAAGATACTGGATGTCTCGCTGAGTTCCACAAAGAAGGTGCTTTCACCTATGAGAATGAAAGGTTTAATGTTATTTCAAATGCTAATGCACATGGCCTAGTAGTAGCTTGCTACACGGCACTTCACTGCTTGCCACACAGCTTTTTCTAGCTGGTGTGTTGGGCCTAAAAATGGCTGACCAGCTTTCATCCAGCAGCTATTTGTGCCAATAAGCTAACCAATCACCATCCCACACATGTGGAGGCCCTAATTAAAATTAGCCTTTGTGAACTACATCCAAGTCAATTTTTCTGCACAAAAGAGATCAAGCTTCTACGGAGGATCTGAAAATTAACAGCAATAACCTGACTGTCAAGCAATGCTCATGTTTTACAAGTAAAAATGTTTCAATCAACATACACCCTTCAAGAAGTCAAAGTATAGTTCTTAGTTCCAGATTTTCTATTATTTACTGTCATCACAACAGAATTCAGCAGGGCAGTAATGCAAGTGTAAATCCAAGTGCTTTTAGCATTTCTATTCTGAATTTTAATAATGGGTTTATCTTTCCTGAAGCTTTCTAAGCACTTTTTTTAGTACAAAATAAATTGATAAACTGCAAACATTTGATAGCAATTTGGGGAAAAACAACCCTACACCCTTTTGAAAGGAATAAATCAATCTCAAAACATCTTCTTACCTGACATGATTCTATCAGATGCTCCTAGACGTGTGAAAACTCTGTCAACTGGGTTAAATTTGCAGCTTTCTGCAGGCACATAGCAGCCCAGTTGTGCCAGGATGACCAAGAGGCCAACCTAGTTGGGAGGGGGTAAAGAGGAAAAAGGGAGTCAGGTCCCTGCTATACAAATTAGAAAATTTGTTTCACATCACTTCACTCACCTACATTCTACACCTCAAACATTCTGTTCTGCTTGTCATCTATTCCGCTATTATTCTAAGACCACTCCTCAAAACTGTAGGAGAGGATAAAAACAACTTCTGACTCAAAATTCTGCCACTGTTTATACGCTCACCTGCAAATTAGAAAACGGGATTCAAATCTCTAGGTATTCGAGTACATGCTGCAGACTTGACAGAATGCTGTGCATTACCAGAGGATAAGTCTTGGAGTTAGAAGTTAAACCACAGCTCCATTTGCCTCCCTGTTTGCAAGTTAAAAGATCATATGACAATATTCTGGAAAACAGCTGGGGAGATCCCCCTTTGTTCAGCCAGTATTTAGCTCCAACTAACTTAAATTCGCTGGTCGTTACACAGTGGGAGCTTGCAGTGGTCAAGATGATAGGATAAACACTAAAGCGACTACAGTTTGAAGGGTACTTCATCAGCTGTAACAGGGCCCTTTGTTCCACGTTCAAATGGAGTTCTTTTTGTTTAAAGTGTACAGAAACGTGACAGACTACACTGGCTCGCACCTGTCTCATGAGTGTGGATTTTCCTCCCATATTTGGGCCTGTTACAAGCAGGCAGGAAGCCTGCTTCTTACTGACACCACCTTCCAAATCTTCCACGTCCGTGCAGCCAATGAACACATCATTCGGGATGAAATCCCCAAAAAAGGTCTTTAAGACACAAGGATGGCGTGAAGCTCGAAGCTCCAGGAACGGCTGTGTGTCATCCTCAGTAAACATTACGACAGGTCTGCACATCGGCCCATCTCCACTCTGACTATAGTGTGTTAGGCTCAACAAAACATCTGCAAGAGTAAAACCAGAGTTAAAAGGCAAATTCTGAAAAACCACATAAAAGCTCCTGACAACAGAATGAACTCAAAGAATCAAACCGTTGCATCTTTTCTGGAGATGGTAACTGGTTAGCTTCGCAGTGCTGGGGGCGGAGGAGATTTATATTAACAATGTGAAGAGCATCAACAGAAGACATTGTGGAAGTAGGCTGTTCAGTCTGCCATTCCACTCCACTTTTCCGCCTTTTCTCTCATAACCCTTTATTCCCTTATTTGGGCAGAAGACTGCCATGAATATATTTAATGACTCAGCCTCTACTGTAAGAGAGGTTCACAGTTTCAGTATCCTCCAAGAAGTTCCTCATCTGTTTTATGGGCACACTGGCTTATTGGAGATTATGCCAATTACAACATTTAAAAGACATTTGATAGATAGATGAGTAGGAAAGGTTTGGAGGGATATGGGCCATGTGCAGGCAGGTGGGACTAGTTTAGTTCGGGATTATGTTCAGGGTGGACTGGTTGGACCGACGGGTCTGGCTCTGTGCCGTATGACTCTACGGTCCTAGATTCTCCCACAATGGGAAACAACCTTTCTGCATCTATTCTATCAAGCAGTCACTTAAGAATCTTGTATCTGTAAGGTCACCTTTCATTAGTCTATATCCCAATAAGATCAGGCCCACCTTCTATACCTTTCCTCATAAAAGGAGTCTGTCCATATTTGGACCATATTTGGTATTAGCCTAGTGAACCTTCTTTGGACTGCTTCCAATGCCAGCATCTTAAGATATGTGGACCAAAACTGTTCACAGTATTTCAGCTGTGATCTGATCATTGCCTTGTATAGTTTTAGCAAAACCTGCCTACTTTTATTGCTCCTTTGCCTTCCTTTCTTACTCAATTTGTACACCAGCTTTTTGTGATTTATAGACTAGGGCTCCCAAATCCCTGCACTGCAGATTTCTCCATTTAAAATAATATTCATCTCTTCTACCACATATTCCCACATTATATCCCAAGTTTCACATATGAATCAGCACAATCACTAATAAACAACACCCAAAGTTACCACTGCCTAGGATCAAGCCTTTTAGTTTGCTTGCTCAAAGTTATTCGTCAATTTGATTTATAGACAGAGATTGCCTGGTTATAGAAATGATCTTGGGCCTTCCATTGACCAGAAACTGCAACTGGCCTTGCCCCATAAACACGGTGGCTACAACAGCAGATCAGAGGCTACAAATACTGCAGAGAGTAACTCCCCTCCTGACCCCCCCAAAGCCTGTCCAGTATCTACAAGGCACAAGTCAGAAGTGTGATGGAATACTCCCCACTTGCCTGGACAAATGCAATTCCAACAACACTCAAGCTGGAAACTACCCAGGATAAAACAAAGATTGGCACCACATCCACAAACATTCACTTCCTCTACCACTGAGGCCCAGTAGCAGCAGTGAACTCTCCTTACAAGGCACACTGCAGAAATTCACAAGAGATCCTTGGCACAGCACCTTCCAAACCCATGACCACTTCCATCTAGAAACAGCACCAGCCCGGCTTGGAAATACGTCACTATTCCTTTAGTGGCACCAAAGCAAAATCCTGGAATTCCCTCCTTCTTTAACAACACTGCAAGTGTACCTACACCAGACAGCAGCCCATCACCAACTTATGGACAAAGAGGGGGTGATGATTTCATCCCAAAAATAATGAATTTTAAAAATTGTCGTCAAGACTAGAAACTCTGGGTCCGTTGGAATGAACTCAGCTCAGAGACAGCAACAACAATTCAATGGGTGCTTTGGTGAACGCAAGACTGATTCCAGTCATGTTCCGCAGAGCTCAGGACTTGATATCTTGCTGTGATTTAAACTCCACTTCAAAGGGGATGATTAACAAGTTTGCAGCCAACACAATTATTGGCCACATGCCTTTGATATTGAAGGAGAAAGCTGTAGACAGCAGGAATCTTTCAACAGATTAGACAGGTGGGCTGAGCAACGGCAAACAGGTTCAATCTGCAAGTGTGAAAGGTGATCGCTTGGCGTAAGGCTAACGCCACAATGAGAGACCATGAAGGCAAAAAAACACAGCTAGTGCAGAAGTCCCTAGGATCACATGTCCACAGGTCACTGAAGATGGCCACAACTAGATCAGGTGCTCAAGGGACATGGGATTCTTGTCTTCTTTAGCAAAGCAACAGTCCTTAAGTGCCTAAGAGGGGATGTTTGACTCTAACATGCTACTTAGGGCACAGCAGGTGCAGTTCAGGTCCCTCACTACTGAAAAGATCAGGCTGCACTGAGAATCTCTGTCTCCTCCAAAGACATTGCCTGCAGGAGTTTGAGTCATGAACTAGAGCCTGGTTTCTTTAGGACCCGGAGGGGGAGACCTAATTAAAATGCATCAACTGCGAAGAACAGGAAGGTTCCATTCCACTTGGAAAGGCCAGGGCTTTGTTAGGGGGGCTCACAGGAGATTCAAGGGAAACTCTGCACAGAGGTGATGTGGAGCTCACTCCCAAGGGTGGTGGTGGTGGTGTGGACAGAGACACCCTTGTGTCAATTTAAAAGTAGTTAGGAATGCAGCTGCAGCTCTGTAACCGGGAGGTTCCAGCCCAACAGCCATAAGGCACCGCGTGCGCAAACCGTCCTTCCACGCAAATCCGTACGCACCCCGTTCTTTACCTCAGCTCTTGGTCCGACTGGACCTCAAACCCGATGGCCTGCCAAATGCTCCAAACCCACAGGCGCGCCACCTCTCCCTGGGGTGGGGGGTGATCGCACCAGCACCTGGCGGTTCTCTGTGCTGCTCCCTGGCCAGGGGCAGTCAGAATGGTGCCTGGAGCGTGGGTCATGCCACCCACTGGCCAGGATGCACATGTATAGCCTCGTGTCTGTGTGGGTTCCCTCCCACAGCCCAAAAGATGTGCAGGTTCGGTGAGTTGGCCATGCTAAATTGCCCGTAGTGTTCACGGATGTGCAGGTTATGTGGGTTAGACGTGGGAAATGCAGGGGTAGGGGAACGAGTCGTGGTGAGATGCTCTTCAGAGGGGCGGCATGGACTTGTTGGGCCGAATGGCCTGTGTCCACACTGTAGGAATTCTATGACTCTATGAAAGTGGAATGAGGCAGCTGGAGTCCAGGAGGTGGAATGACCCCATAGCATACGGTAAACTTCAATCATTGTACAGCCATCTACAAGCACACTACAGTATGACCTCTCAGGAGGAGAAACTGTGCAGATTGGGTGGGGGCAGGAAGAAGGGGAGGTGGTGACTGAGGGATTGTTTTTTGGGTGGGGTTGGGAAGTTGGGAGGTAGGAGAAGAGCAGGTGACCAAGTGGACCAGAGTAACCAATTCAATCACAAATGGTGGATTGTGGGACAATATTTAGCAGATTATAATTGACAAAAGGAATACGTGTCGTCTGGTCAGAATTACAAAGCAATATAGTTCTAAGCACAAACTGAAAGCATTTATATTGAACATTTCACTTTTGGGGCGGGGACAGCAGCAATTCAACCCAGATATTTTCAATTTTTGGTTTGACAACTTTCTAAAAAGTTAAATAATACATTAAAACAGAAGCTCAGCAAGTCATCTCTCTTGGAAACTGTCTGGAAGTGGCCAATTCAAAAGGAACTTGTATGTAGCCTCCAAAACAGCCTGCAATGTAGCCAAGCTGGAGAGACTCTGCTGTGCTCACTGGTGCAGGAGCCAGTGAGCACATCGGAGCATTTCTATTATAGGCACTGACAGCCTGTACTGGCCTCCTTTTTAAAATCCACTGCATAATCGCTCCGAGATGTCATGTTTCAGCAGTCAGCCAGCTTCCCAAAGTGACAAAGCCAACAAAACATGGCAAAATAACTTTGAACACAAAGCAGTTCCTTGGAGGAGCCCCGAGTGATCCATGAAGATCCGAAAATATTTACAGCATGTTACAAATTGAAGACATAGCAAATTTACCAGGTGGAAAGCATTTCCCTTTAGATCAGTAATAGCATAAATTACCAACTGAAATGTCAAATTAGACACAATCGCACCTTTTAACTTACTACTGCTTCAGTCAGGTGTGAATTTAAGCAAAAACAAAACAAAAAAAAATCCTGACTTTCCACAATTATATACTCAATAACTAAAAACAAAAGAACACGCTGTCTAAACACTGAGCCAGACCTGGGGCATAGAGAGGGCTGGAAGAGTTTGACATATTTGCAATAGGACCATGAGAAGGCTGGGATAGAAATGGTGAGAGGAAGACATGTTGGATTGTAGATACTGTACCCTGTCAGGGACACCCCCACCCCCACACGGGTGCTGAGGAGTGGAGCAGAGATCACATCCCACCGAGGGTCAGTGCTGTGTTTAGCTCGTCCTGTTAAATAGTGAGGAGACTGTTGGCCCAAGCTGCGAGAGGTCACCAACGCCAATACGGGAATATAGTGGCAAAGGGAGGGGTGGGAGGCGGGTTGTTTGAACTTGTTTGAAAAGAGCCAAATTCAACCACAAAGGTCTCCGTAAGTTATTTAAGATATTTTCTAGGATGAAAACAACTGAAATCAGCACAAACCTGTTCCAGATCAGTCCTTGGAGGAGGAAGTGGCTGGCAGGTGGGGGCTATTTAACCAAGAAAAGGGGCAGCTAACTAGATGCTGGGCCCTTTTTCCTATTGAGCTTGACCTGCGAGATTTATTCTTCAGTCAAGCGAAGATTTACACAAGGCAAGATTAAAAACAGCCAGCACAAGAGACCGCCCACTCACCAAGGACAGCAATGCAGTCCACAGCGGCCTGCCAGTTTTTGTAGTTCTTGTCGAAGTTGTAGAAAAGCCTCCTCATGCAGTCCTGAAGAGCACTGTCGCGCCTCTCCTCAGCATTGTTCATCGTATCCAACAGCTGCTCAATCGCTTTAGTCCAGTACCGTTTGTAACCCTTTTTGGTCGACTTCAGCTCGTACTCCTCTGGCACACGGCGATCGGCGACATTTTCGGGAACCTCCAGTTGGTAGCGATTCCGGCCCGAGCCCCAGTAAACGACGCTGCGGCAGCCGAGCCTCTTGCGCTGGGTCTCCAGGTACTCCTGGAGGTTACGCTCTGTCTCCTTGATGTCAGCGAGGGCCTGGTCGTAATCCGGGTCGAAGCCAGCTTTGGGAGTAATGACTCCAGTGTTCCTCGCCTTCTGGTGGTCGAATGCTGTGTCCCACCTCTTCAGCTCAGCGGAGAGATCAGGGAAGAGGCCGTTGGCAGTGCTGCCTTTCAGGCTGACGATCTGCCTAAGTAACAGAGACCGGAAGGCAGCCACAGACGGCTCGATGACCTGCAGCACCTCCTGGAAGACTTTGAAACCTTCCAAGGCAGACAGGAAGTCAGCAATTTTCTTTTTGCTGTAGCTGGTCTCTTCGTAGAGCACAGCGCGGCTGTCGGGGTGGTCCTTGCTCTTCAGTGGAGATCCAATGCTGTGGATCCGGCTCAGGAGCCGCTCTAAGTCGGGCACTTTCTTCAGCAGCTCAACCAGCTCCGAGATCTTGCTGGGCACAGCCATGAGATCCTCAATGGCATTCAGCCGGTCCTCAATGGCGAGGGGCTGGCACAGCGGGGCACACAGCCACTGTTTCAGTAGCCGCTTGCCAAAGTAGGTGCAGCAGTGGTCCAGCTGCTCCAGCAGGGTGCCCTCGCGGGTGCCAGTGGTGGCGTTCTGCAGCAGCTCTAGGTTGGTCAGGGTGACACCGTCCAGTACCAGGCGCTGTCGCCCGATGGCAGGAGATACCTTCACCCGATCGGCAGCCGCATCCACGGGCGTGTACTCCTCAAAGTTGGCCATCGACAGCAGCTCCTGGTCAACGAGGCACCGCTGGAGGTAGAACACACAGGCGCCAAGGGCCGACAAGGCTAGGTCATAGCCTTCACCCGGGGTGAGGGCGAGAGAGTCCGTCTCGGACACCATTGGCCGCAGAGCGGCTGGCAGAGGGACTCCCGGGTCAGTAGCGTCCCTTGTTTCATTGAAGTAGCCCTCCTCGGCGAGCACTCGGAGGGTTTTGGAGGCGTCCCAGAACTGGGAGGTAGGCTGCAGGCCCTCCTGTAAGGCCGCGACAAGGCAGCCTTTCAAAATCTTCCTGCTCTCAGCCGACGGGTTCCCCCTCTCGAACAGCACCTGCACTGGAGGGTGATGCGCCAACAAGGTCCGGAAACGGGAACAGTGCCGGTCGTCCGCAAACTGGCCCACGTGAAACTTGCCGACGGACGTGTCGACAAAGCAGACTCCGTAGGAGCGTGCCTGGCCTGCCAGCTCTGTGCCTGCCGCCTCTTTCAGGCACAGTAGGTACTTGCTGCAGCTCTCGGCCGCACTGCCATCCAGGACGCTGTACGTCTGCGTGCCCTTGGTGATGACCCGGCACACCTCGCGCCGCACCACCCGGTCAAACTTGGTCGGGTGACGCAGCGACTTGCAGCGGGCCTCCATCATCTCGGGCGTCTCCGTCTGCTCCACCCTCGCCACCTTGTACCCTTTCTGAACCAGCACGTCCGAGAAACGGCCAAAAGCAATCTCGGGGAAACCCGAGTGCGCCCAGCTGCCCTTCATGTACGACAGCCCCAGCTCGGTGACGCCGGTAACAGCGTCCATGTGGTACAGCTCGTAGAACTTGCCAACTTTGTAGAAAATCACGGTGTCGAACATCTGCGATTTCAGCTCCCACCACCTCCGCATGCCCGGAGTGCACTTGCACAGGAAGTCGTCGGGGACATGCAGCGTAGCGCGGTCATAGTCAGGCTCACTTTCTTTTCGCCTCCTGGCGTCCTTCCTCTTGCCCGGTTTTAACCACTCCAGCTTCTCGTGATCCCAGGTGGTGCCCGGTGAGGGGCTGCCTGCTCCGCCACCATTAGACTGGCACTCGAATGTCTCTGGGGCAGAGAACGCCGACAGCCTGGACTTGGTGCTCAAAGACACTGCCGCTGGTCTCTTGGGCATTTCAGAGGGGGAGCTGGAAGCACTTTTCGCTCTGGCCGTGCCTCCACGTTTCCGCTTAAACGGCGTCTTGATGGGACTGTCGGGATCAGTCTCTGTATCAGGCTCACTGAGCTCCCTCTCATCGACCCCGCTGCTGCACTCCTCACTGCTCCCATCGTTCTGCTCTGGCTTGAACTCCTCCTCGGAGCTCTCCGCGTCACTATCCGACTCCACCACCAGCCGCCTCCTCTTGGTTTTGGCATTGGCTGAGCGCGTGGCCCTCGACTTCTGCCCTTTCACCTTCTCGTCCTCGCTGTTATTTTCTTTATCCTCCTCACTCGCCGTCAATTGGTCAGCCACCTAGAGGGGAACATTCCGGATTCACTCACTTCTCATCTTAACCCCCAACCCTCCACCCAGTTCAAACCAGCCCCTCACCAACAGCCTGGCAGGAACGGTCAGCTAAACAGGAATTGGGCAGGGGAGGGGTCCAGCCCAGACTAACGGGATAGAAACTGTCAGATGGGCAGAACTGCCCAAATGAAAAGGAGGGTCTGAGCAGTACAAAGCAGCCAGAGGCCATGGCCATATCGGCACTGATGACTGAGGCAGGAATGTGGAGGAAGTCCTGAAAGAATATTTTGGAGAGCTCGAAAGGCAGACTCTCTAAAGCAGTAATCTCAGAATTCCTCACAGCCCCATGTGTCAGAAACATAAAAACAGGGAAACAAGCACCTGAACAAGTGGCTGTAAAGCTGTGTATAGGAGGTGGGTTTTAAGACTAGTTCTGGGGAAGATGGTGCCGACCAGTCTATACCTGAACAGGACCAGGATAAATCTCCTTGTAGGGAGATTGGTTCGTGCTGTTGCGCAGGCTTTAAGCCAAATGGTGAGAGGCAGGGGAACCAGAGGGCAGATCCTAGGCAGGGAATGGGAAGCAGAAATCTAGTGAGCATCTCTGAAAGACAAAAGTTAAATACTGTACAGCACAGGAATTTGGCAGTATTAAAACATATTTATGTCAACACAACAGTATACTGAATAAAGCCAGTGAGCTGACAGCATAGATCAACACAGTAGCATTGCAAAAACAGAAGCTCAACTTAAAAAAAAAAAGAGGGGTAAAGCACTCTGCAGGGGGTGGGGATGGAGTTATCAGGCAGGATAAAGGATGGGGTAAGAAAGTTTGTGGCATTATCGACTAAAGAATCTATTACAGCTGGCAGAAAGCAGGATATGGCCTCATTTAGTATACAGGTTCAGCACTGGTACAAAAAAGGTACAGTCACATTGGGAGGTGTGTACTATAGATCCCCAAATAGCAAAAGAAAGAGAGGAGCAAATGTATTGACAAATTTCCGAGTGCAAACAAAAGGCAAGAACAGCAGGGACTTCAACGACATAAATATCAACTGTGAGACCGAAAGGCATAAAATTCTTGCAGTGTGCTCAAGAGAATTTTTTTTAAGCTTCCACGTGACAAAGAGAAAAGGAGGTTAGATTTAGTGTCAGGAAATGAGCTGGGCAGGAAGCAGCAGTGAGAGACCATTTGAGATAGTAGTCATAATACACAGTTAGGGTTTAGCATTAGGGAAAGTGATAAAGAGAAGTGTAAAAATTCCAAATTGAGGGAAGGCAAACTATAGAAAGCTGAGAAATGAGCTAGCAAAAGTCAACTGGGTACAGCTACTTCAAGAAAAGAGTGGCAAATCACTAAGAAACAGCCAAAAGTGAGATTCAATGAGTACAGTGTAGACATAACCTCACAAAGGTGCTGCTAAATCTAGAGCTGTGTGGTTATCCTGAAGCATACAGAGCAAGATAAAGCTGAAAAAAAGAGAGAGTTTATGATAATCTCAAAAGTAATATTTTAGGAAACTTACAAGAAGTACTGGGTGAAGCAAAAGAGGAAGTTACAGGAACAAAGTAAACAGGAAAATAACATTAGCTGGTAAAATTAAGCAAAATACAAAGATCTTTCATAAGTACATTAAGAGCAAGTGGATGACTAAGGAAAGGGCTGGGTCCATGAAACCGTACGCGTGGCTAAGAGGAAGTGGGCGGTTCTAAATTATTATTTTGTCTGTCTTCACAAAGGAGAGAAAGATGCTGCAGACAATCTAGTCAGAGGAGGAGGAATGGGAAATATTAGAAAAAAGAAAAATGAGGAGAAGGGAGAACACGAGGGACTGACCACCTTCAAGGTGGGTTAATCATCAGGGTTAGATGAAATGTATCCTACGTTGTTCAAGGTAGCCACGGAGAAAGTAGCAGACCCTCAAGATCATTTTCCCAACCCTAATCAGGTGCACTGTAGCAGGGAACTGAAGGTCTGAAAACATCACAGTATTATTCAGGAACAATGCCAACTATAATTATTTGGCTAATCCCTCGCAATCAACCTTGGTGCTGGACAAATTACTGGATTCAATGTTGAGAGATACGATTGTGCGTTACTTAGAAAGGCACAGATTAATCAGGGATAGTCAGCACGGTTTGTCAACGGAAGGTTACATTTTACTATCAAAGTCTTTTTGAGGAAGTAAGAAGGATTGAAGAGAATGGAGTACTGGATATCCTCAGAAGTTCTGAGGAACGGTCACCAGACCCGAAACGTTAACTCTGTTTTCTCCTCCACAGATGCTGCCAGACCTGCTGAGCTTTTTCAGCAATTTTGTTTTTGTTCCTGATTTACAGCATCCGCAGTTCTTTCGGTTTTTATTTAGGGATTCTATGAAACTAGTCTGAATAATTAAAACTAGTGGGGTACAGGAGAATGAGGCAAATTAGATTCAAAATTCACTCAGACAAGAAACAAGGGGTAAAAGGTGATAGAAAGCAGTTTCCAATAGTGTTCCACATTGCCCAGTGTTGGTTCCCTTGCTGTTTGCAGTATATATTAATGATTTAGCCTTAAATATGGGAGGCATGATTGAAAAAAATAGAAAGGTGACAAACATTAGGTGTGTAGCTGATTCTGAAGGACAGGCATGTTGGTTGCAGGATGATAATGGTTTGGTTGAGTGGTTGGACAGTGACAAATTGGATTTAATACAGGAGAGAGGGGTCATGCATTTGAGGACAGTAAACAAGGGAATACACAGTAAACAGGAGGGCATTGAGAAGGGTAGAGGGAGTGAGAGATCATGGAATACATGTCCACAGATCCCTGTAAGTGTTAGGACAGGTAAACAGATAATGCAATAAAGGCAGTCTATGGGATCCTTTTGTTCACTGGGTGAGGTATTAAATACACGAGCAAGGATGTACTGCTGAAACTATACAAGGTACTGGTTAGGACATAGCTGGGGATTCTGTACTGTTCTGGTCACTATATACAGGAAGGACCTAACTGCTCAAGACAGGGTACACAACAGGTTTACATGAATGTTGCCAGAGCTTGAAAATTGCAGCTATGAGGATACATTGGAGATGCTCGGGCTGTTCTCTTTAGAACAGGGGAGGCTGAGGGTAGTTTAACAGAGGTGTATAAAACAATGAGGAGTTTGGATAGAGTGGACAGAGTACACCAGATTCCACTGGAGAGATCAGTTACCTGGAGCACAGATTTAACGTGATCGGGAAAGGGATTAGAGGGGACGTGAGGAAGAGCTTTTTCAGCCAGAGAACGGGGTGTGTCTGGAACTCTCTGCCCAGTTTGGCGCTTGAGCAACTTAAAAGGATTTGTATCCGAGTCTGAAGTGCTTTAACCTGCAAGGCTAGGGCCCAAGGTGCCAGGAAATGGGTGGCCAGGTTAGTCTAACCAGCACAGACAGTGGGCTGAATGGCCTTTCTGTTGGGTCAATGGAGTTCAGCTCCTCGTTGTGCAGAGGACAGCAACCTCCATAATGTGACATTCCAAGGCAGAAGGGTGAAAGAGCGAACAGCAAAAACATCCAGCGTCAGGAACTGGAGGGACATTCATTGGAAAGGAACAGGCTTATCATGTTGGGGAGGATACAGTTTGATTAAAGTAAACTTTAGAAGTTGCTGTGCTGTAGCCTACACTTGGTTACTGATACAAAGCGATGCAGGCATTGGGAGGGCCGGTGTAGGGGATGTTCAGTGTTATTCCCATGAGTGGAAGGTGAGGATTGGGTTAAAGGCAGATTACAACTGCAGGGCTGCAACTAAAAAGATCAGATAACTGGATCAGTGACTTGTGTTGCTGATTTTGAAGAGGATGCATGTTGGTTGCAGGATGGTTGGACAGTGACAAATAGGATTTAACACAGGAGAGAAAGGTCATGCAGTTGACAACAGTAAACAAGGGAATACACAGTAAACAGGTGACGGAGCTGCAGCAAGCAATATAATCAAACCATCAGGGCCAGGAATTCTAACCCTTTCATATCCCATGAACTTCACGACACCCCTATCTAGCTCATATCAACTCATTTCAGTACAGGCTAGAGGAACCAAATTTGGGAATGCTCCTGATTTGAGGAGCTGGCTTCTTTCACTCTGATTAAGTTTGATCAAAACCATTGCTCATTTACCTCCATGTCTTCTTCCTCCTCCTCCTCCTCCTCCTCCTCCTCTGGTTCGGAAAGCTCTGTGCACACAGCCAATTCCAAGCGCTTCTCTTTCGATTTCGGAAAAGCAGCATCGGCGAGTTCCACTGCCCTGCGGATTTCAGGTTTCCCACTGAAATAGACACCGCCTCTCTGAGCCTCCTTACATTCCGAACCTGCAAAACCAAAAAGATCACGGCCTTACAGGTCCTAACCTGACAGACTCTTACGGCATAGAAACAGGCCGTTCAGCCCACATGTCAATGCTGACCAACAAACACCAATCTTGTCTTCCTGCATTTGGTCCACAGCCTACTATGCCTTGGCCTGTTAGACACTTGTGTTTCTCTAAGGTTGGGAGAGTACCCATCTCCATCAACCTCTCAGGCAGCATGTTCCTTATTTATGCCACCCTGTGGGTGAAGAGTTTTACGCAGATGCCCTCTAAACCACTTACTCCTCACCTTATGCCCTCTGGGGAAGATTCTCACGACCTACTCTGTCTATACCTCTCAATTCTGTCAACCTCAAATCAAATCCCACCACCAACCCCCAACACCAGCCTCTTCTGCTGGAGACAAAACAAACACAGCCCAATCAGTCTCTCCTCAACTGCAACTTTCATCCCAAGCAACACCTGGTATATCTCGCCTACACTCTCCAGTGCAATCACGTCCTTTCAATAAAGTAGCAACCAGGACTGCAGTGTTCCATATATGGCCTAACCAATGCTCTCTAAAGTTACAACAAGACTTTGCTGCTCCCATACCCTACACCCCAGCTAAGACATTTACTGAATGCCATACTTCTAAAGTAGCAAAACCCTCCCATTGTTCAAGCTGTATGGGGCAAGTTTGGAAAGTAAGTGAACTGACACCCATTGTGCCTGCATGTCAAACTGAGATGCAAAGGGCTTTAGAGACAATGCCCCAGAGGTGAAAGAAAGAGGACCGTTCCCTGGAGAGACTGGATGTGGAATTTGCAGCACACCATGTTTGGTGGGGATGGAATCAGTGACAGATTGAGCTGAACACTTCTGCTCTTTAGCGATGGTGAGGTGCAAAAACGTCTAGTTCATTTACAACGTGATCAAATAAGCAAGGGAGCTGTGGCAGTATCGCACTCAGGCTGGCGAGATCCAATCCCTCCGAGGAATTCGTTCAGTACCAAAAGCCATTCCTTAAAAACATTCATCACAACCTTCTGAGGCCAACAGGGGACAAACAACAAAAGGTAACCTTGCCAGCACCTCGAGAACAAGTATAAAGGGATGGTGCAGGCAAAGTGTCATTGTGAGCATCTGCCATACACTATAATAACCAACCTCATATTGCAGGAGACAACACTTAAAAGACATTTGGACAGGTATATGGATTGGAAAGGTTTCTGAGGACATAGGCCAAATAGTCTGTTTACAAGCTGTGTCACTATGACAAAATGAACAAATTAAACTATTTGTCAAAAATATCACAAATAACTAAGCTCATGTTCAGATACAAATACCTATTAGTGGAAATGCTGCACTGAAACAATTATGCAGCTAATTCTCTGTTATCACATCACTGGAGTTTATAATCATGGACAGAGGCCTGTGCAGTTTTGCTGCACTTAGCACCAGGTTTACAGGCCAATCTCTGCACAACAGAACTAACTAGTACCTAGCTTTCATACCAGGGACTTCCCAATGTTTGAAAGGATATAAACCATGGAACCACATTAAATCTTTACGTTAAGGTCATCAAAGTCAGATCAAAGGTCAAACACAGCCCATCCTTTAGAATGTGGTCCGCAAAATCTATGAGACAATACTGGGGAAAAGGTTTGCACAGTTACACCAAATTATTCTAAGCATGAACTGCAGAACTAGTTAAAACCCAAAAGCTAAAAACCTACTAGGTCAGAGGAAATTTGAACCTAGTATAATGGTTGATGACCAAAGATACAGGTGTTTTGATACAAACTACTAAGTACTGCAGTCTTAAACTGGGTTTTTCTTTGCAGAACTTGAAGATTTCCTGTGGTTGACTGGGAAAGGGAGAGAATAGTAAAGAGACAAAAAGGCAGAGTAACCAATTTCCAGGGATCTGTCTCTTGTTGACATTGATGCCACACTCAGTCAAATTGGCTTACTAGTTATTTTTCCCCCACAGCATCATCCGGTCAAACACCTTTAAAAATGGCAAACAACAAGGCACGCTAAATCCCTACAGAAAGTGGAATTCAACATGGTGATCTCTTACCTGTGTACAACTTGACATACTTCACACTAACCCAGCCTCTTGTAGGAGGATCATCAAAAAACTGGACATGAATACGGAGAGACTTCCCTCTGCCCCTGAGATACTCCTCAGCAGTCGGATGGTTATACACCAGACTTGGCCACCAGGGATACCCTTCCAGTTTGGCCCACACCAGATCTCCTGGAGCAAATTCACAAGCTTGACTGCAGGGAAATAAAAATGGCAGAAAAATTCCTCAGGGTTTCAAACTCTTTTCCTGCATCGTTAACGCTGCCTTGCCCCAATACTAACTCATGCTGTTACATTCACGAGGAACAATCACTGCACTGAAATCAAAACACAAGTGGACATAAGAGACACCATTAAATGCATTCAAGGCTCCCAAACACTCCAGTTACAACTGGTCAGTTGCAGATGCAGTACAAAGGCTTCCAAAAGAGCAAGTTGCTATGTAAATAAAGGTGGGTTTCTGCTACCGCTACTTTTCCAAAACATTGTCTGAGTTACAACCTGAAACACTGCCAATTCACATCCAAAAAGGGGGGGCTGGTGCCACATGGTACACCC